TCTCTTCCATTAAATCTGTCCATCTGTCATGCTACTTGCAACTCAATTTTTGATGTTCATCTCTTAACTTTTTATTTCACTGTTGGTATATTTATTCAAGCTTTTTTTGATTTTTAAGAAAATATGTTGAGATATTTTGATAAAGATGTATTTAATGAAATTGGAAATGAGACTATTATCCAATTTACTGTTTTGAGTCCCCCATCAAGGATTTTTTTTACCTTTCAAAAAAAATTATGCTTGGAAGGTCATGCCATGAATTTCTATTCTAATGTAGGTACAGTTAACTATTTATTCTTTAATACTTTTATGTTATTCTTTATAAACAAATTTTTATTGAATTTTTATTTACCGTTGTAGTTTATAACATGGCTACAACAACGAATCAATGTCGATGCCGATGACAACACTTAGGTTTATTTTGGACGATGGTCATGCAAGCGATTATGATATATAATGAACTTAGGCGTCGTGCACGACATCTTCCAAGAGCTCCTCATACAAATTGGAATTCTGAAAGAGAAATAACACTTACACGAATGTTTGGCACGAGTGATACAATATGTCGTGATCTACTTAGGATGAAAATAGGTCCATTTCAAAGATTATGTGCTCGTTTGCGAACTTATGGATTGGTTGACAGTAAATACGTTCAAATTGAGGAACAAGTCGCAATTTTTTTGAATACAGTCGGCCATGACCAACGTAATTGCGCTGGACGTTTTACTTTCTTTCGATCTGGTCAAACAGTGAGCTTTTACTTTCACAAAGTCTTACATGCTTGTCTTGGACTGTATAGAGATGTTGTGATTAATGCCACTCCTCATAACTCGCCATACGAAAAAGAAAATGTCCAGCCATGGTACTCCTTTTTTCAGGTTAGAGGTTTGTAGTTATTTAATTATATTTCTTAAAACTTCAATATACACATTTATTCTGAAAAGTATTCTTTTTTAAAGGATGCCGTGGGAGCAATCGATGGTACACATATTGCTGCGTATGTGCCTTTAGAGGAGCAAGGTAAATATCGCAATAGAAAGCAAGTGATTTCCCAAAATGTTTTAGTAGCTTGCACATTTGATATGAAATTTACGTACGTGCTTGCCGGTTGGGAGGGATCCGTACATGATGGTCGATTGTTACGAAGTGCAATATTACGCTAAGGACATAAGCTAACAATTCCTGTTGGTAAGTTGTGTCACTATTTTGAAAACATTTCTTCCACACATAAGTTATAATAATTACCTAATGACCATCTTATGAACGACTCTTTCGTAGGCAAATATTATCTTGTTGACGCTGGCTTCCCATCGGTTTCGGGTTTTCTTGCACCATACCGTAGGACTCGTTATCATCGTAGAGATATTGAAGGTCAACGTCCTGAAAGTAGTAAGGAGTTGTTCAATTTTCGACATTCATCTCTACGTAATGTTATTGAGCGTACAATTGGTTTGCTGAAAAAAAGATTTGCATATTTGAGAATGTGAGGGCGTGATTGAAAACTCTGAAAAAAGAATATGTTGAAGTTCGTCAGTTGTTAAGTATGAGTGGTTTTGGGTTAGATCCTCACACTGGACGTGTCACAGCTGATGTACTAGCTTGGGAGTAGTTGTTAAAGGTACAAAATTTCACTGACCACCAAAAGTATTATTCCTTAAATATTAGTAATATAATTTATTTTGACCACTGACTAGCGTAAAACATATTTTACTGTTTTTCTTGTAGGGCAAACCAGAATTTGGAAAGTGGAGGACCAAACTTTGTTCTCGTTATGATGATTTGGAGGCTATCTTTGGAAATGATTCTGCTACAGGAGATCGTGCTGTAACCGGCAATGACAATTTATCCCCCGATCATGGTACGTACTAGATCGTACATAAAAATTTATATAATTCGTATTATACTAGAGATTCTAACAAATTCTTATTTTATTATTTTTTTAGATGAAAATGTGCATGAAGTTGATGGTCAAAATGAGGATAGAGATCCAAGCCCCATTTGCGCTCCTAAGCGTAACGCCGAAGGAGGAACTAACAAAGTTCGCCGTCGACGTACCCAACCTAATGATGAGAGTCTCGTTGCCCTATCAAGCATTGCCGAATCATCTCAAAAAATTGCTAATGCTATAGAGATTCAAGCAACATTAGATACTCTAAACCACATCAATTGGCAGTTGGTTCTAGAAAAATTACAAGGCATGAGTATAGAAAAGAGTGACATAATGCAAGTGATGAAAAAATTTCGATTTGATGAAAGTCTGGTTAGAGTATTTATGAGTTTGACTGATGAAGAATTCATGCGTGATTTAGTATTTGAGAATCTGGGCCGTGATCCGCCTCCACTATTTTAAGATGACTTGCCTAGATAATTCAACAAGCATATGTGAAAGTATGACATCTATGTTGATTTTATTTGCTATTTTCTTATGATAGGGATTTTTGGGTTTTTTCATTTTCGTTTTATGTAATACATTGGACGAAATTTCATCATTATTTATTGAATTGATTATTTGATAATTATTTTTGATTGGAAAGAAGAATATATAAGTGGTAGAAATCTGAATTGGTAGGGATAATTATTTCATCTCCACAGTGTTTCTGCATCTTTCGAACCGAATCTTCTCATGTTTTTATTCACAAATTGACTGCTATATTAATTACAATTTGTATAAGTTGGTTGAAGGTTCTGATTGAACCGTTGGATTATTTTATTTTATTTTTAATTGAATTTGCATAGCTATATGCATACAAGAAACTCCATGAACCAGCAATCTGACTAAAAGCGGACAAGCCTGGGAATATGGTGAGAACACGCATGCATGGTACAATATGTTTGTAGTACTGGGCAGCTTCATTTTGATAAATGTGCAATGATATATTGGCGTAAATGATAGTGAGATGATGTGTCTCGCTGCCTTGAGCATTGCTGAAGAAAAGCAAATGACCATATATGATGTAGCTTCATTCACTTAGATGGATCGAAGTGGATTTCCCAGGACGCCTATTGGGTTGTCAGATGTTTCCATTGCATGTGAATATATGTAAATAAAATTAGTTGCTTGATGCATAGTCAATTTTTCAAACGAACTAGAATTGTTGATTTCATACCTGACAGATCTATGATGATGGAAAAAACCTATATGGTGATCATTTTTCTACATGTTAATTTGCAACGATTGAGCAGAGATTGATTCATCATGGAAAATCTCATAGTAATTGGGTGATGTGCCAAGCATGTGGACAGCACACCAATTTTGGAAACATAGCTTATGCTGATGATATCCAAAATGATTAACCCAGTGGTCATTTTTCTGCATGGAACGTTTTTTTGTATTTTTGCTTTTTTCCAGACGGCTCAATTGGGTGGTATTGTGCAGATTGAAGAGGTAACAAGGAGAATTTTATGGATTACTTCTACCAATCCAGCTGCTAAGGTATTCGTTTTCTCCAAGTGGATGGATGTCTCATCACAATTCTGCTTAGGGATGCAGAGTTTATTAGTGCGTGTTGAAGAATATATTGCACACACAAATAGGAAAGATTTATTAGCAATGCAAGCAACTGGTGTTGCATAAAAAACGCAGCAGTCATTGATATAAAACCAAAGATAGAATTAACAATTAAGATAACCATAATATTTTATTATAATTAATAGTAAACTGCATCAACACGAGGTCATAAAATGACATTCCAAGGTAATACCAGCAACAAGCAATATGTAACTACCCATCCACAAGAACCAAGAAGTATGAAACTACCCATCAACCATAACAAGTTTCAACTGGACATAAACTGCAAAATACATTGTCACAAAAATCTGTTCAAAAGTAGAGTTATAAATGAGATCATCTAAGCAATAATGACGCCCTTCAACTTCCTATCCCTTCGTGGCACAACATCGAACTCAGTTTTATTCTTCAATTAGCTTCTCACACCCATGCTTGAATAGTTGAGCTGCTATGTCCAGT